TGGCCTTCAGGACTTCTGTTCACTGTGGGTGCTCAAACAAGTGGGCACAGAACGTCCCAGCTTCTGGTTCCTCGAGCTATCCTTGTCCCCAGCAGGGGGCCCTGGTGGCTCAGTGCTGTCTCTTCTCTCCTGCAGAGCACACTGGCCCATGAGAACAACAGAGACACCAGGCTGGCATGGACAGGCGTTCAGGAGCACCTTGTGTCCACTGGATTCAACCAGGTAGTGGTTCCTCCAGCATCCATGGCACTGCCAGCCAGGGACTTACCTAGTCCTTTAGGCTCTTGCTTCAAGAAGGTTGGGTGAGGTCACTGGGAGGTGGGGTGCAGACAGCCAGTTACAGGCCTATCCATATACGGCCTGGCTGTGCAGCTGGGTCTCAGGGCCCCAGGGAACTGAGGGCTTTAGAAAACTGGCAGATTCCATTTGCAGTAGCTAAGCTTGACCCCGGGAGCCATGATAGCCCCATAGGGACCAGAGTCCATGGAGGGAAACGCCCCTTGTCCCTTGTCACCTAAAAGTTCTTAAAGGGGCAGGGCAGGACATGAAAACCCAAACTCTGCCTCCCTGTCATGACTCCCTTCTGCTCTAGGGCAGGTGCCAGGCTGCACCCTCAGGCATTAGGTTCCAGGAGCAGGTAGATTCCACTGAGCCTTTCCCTGGATCCCTCACAGATGCGTGAGCGAGAAGTGAAGCTCTGGGACACCCGCCTCTTCAGCAGCGCCCTGACTTCCATCGCCTTGGACACCTCACCTGGGTAGGAACTTTGACATGCTGGGAACTGGGAGTAAGAGTCTAGAAGGTGTCCAGACTGGTCACTGGTGATGGCCCCTGACATTGTGGCAGATGCTGAGCCTTGGCTGCACCTGGGCCCAGATCTCCAGGATCCCCAGCTTTACCAGTAGGGGGTGCTGAGGCAGTCTTAAATGGGCCAATGAACCAACATCCTGTCCTCCTGGGGCTCTGTCAGGAAAGTAGTCTCCTCTTCATGGGCACACATCACTGCCTAGGGGTTCATGTAAGTGTGTTTTTAAATTAAGGGTGGGGGTGACCTTGAAAATGTGTCATGGGAGTATAGATGGCAGGAATGGGCTTTATTTTGCTATGCATGTTTTCATGGAGCTGAGGACCCAAGGATATTTGAGGTTGTAGGAGAAAGACAGACACCGATGGCTATGATAGGGCATGTGACTGTGTTTGCAAGTAGGTATAGCAGGTACATGTAGGCGTGGAGTCCACTGAGATTTATTTAAGAAGTTTGCTCTCACATATGAGTCCACCTCACACATGTTCCCAGAGAGCACAGGAGGGTAATGTATACTTCATTCTTCATCCCTGCCTCCCAGAGTATGGGAGAAAGTTTATGGTCATGCCTGGTGGAATCCAGGCTTTGTGTAGAGATGGCCTTGGTCTGCAATGGCTGATAAACCAGTCACCAGCATGCTGGCACTTAGGATAAACAGTCTATACAATCTGTGAGAGCATCAAGAATAGCTAAGGAGATGGAGGGGCTCCAAGAGGCTCAGAGACTTTGCCAGGGATGGCTACAGGGGAAGGAGGGAGGGACTCCTGCTCTGAAGCCTCAGCTGCGACTAATGGAAGGGCTGGCCAGGAACCCCTGGGTAGGTTGACTGGGGAATGCTAGAGCCAGAAAAGGCCCTGGTCCTTGCTATCTTGTCTAGCTTATTCTTTCTATAATAGTTCAGAACTGAAGGCTCTGACTCACAGAGGAACAAGGGCTTCTCAGAGGCCCAGAAACAAGAGCATCATATTAGGGATCAGGGAATGCAGGGGAAAATGGTATTCTTTATGCCTTCAAAGGATAAGGTATGGTCAGGAAGACAAGAGACTCTACATCCCAACTTCTAATGCACAGGGAGAGGTCAGGAGACTTGTTTATTGTTGTTGTTTTTATTCTTGTTTTGAGACTGGGTTTCTCTGTGTAGCCCTGGCTGTCCTGGAACTCACTCTGTAGACCAGGCTGGCCTCAAACTCAGAGAGCCGCCAGCCTCTGCCTCCTGAGTGCCGGGATTAAACGAGTATGCCACTATGCCTGGCTTGACAGTATCTATTTCATAGTGAAGAAGGCAAAGCCGAGGCATATTCAGGGTCAGGGGCTAGATCTCAAGAAAGGTATCAGGGTGGCCCTTCCCTGGAGGAGATAGAGGTACTAGGCTTTGGGGCTGCATGACCGCTGTTTGTCTTATGTATCCACCCCAGGCCTGGCACTGTCCTGGCATCTTCTCTTCCAAACCTACTCAAGCCAGGTGACTGTTCCCTACAGGCCTCCAGCAGAGGTGCTGTGGCTGGAAAGCACGCCTGGCACCATCAATCTGCTACTCTTGACCTACCACTTCCAGCCAATCAGGCTCCACTCTGGTAGTGATGCTGAGTATCCCGTCCCCCACAGGGCATCTTCTGCCTAGCTGTAGGATGGCCCCTGGAAGAGTTAACCATGCCCAGACCCCATGGTGCCACTGGCCAGGGCTGACCCTGTAATTACAGCAGTTAAGAATAGCCTCGAAGGACCAACAAGGACTGGAATTTGTCAAATTACTCCCAGATGGGCCGCCAGGCCAGCATTCCTCCCCTCAGCCCCCAAGCCATGGCCTATGCCCTGGCAAGCTGACACCCTTGGCAAGAGAACTAGGACTCTCCAGCCTCCACAAAGCTGGTGGACATTGGTGCATGCCAGTATCTAGGCTATTGAGAGAAGTGGCAGGTCCCTGCGTCCTTGCAGGTTTACTGTAAAGCAGATCCCCCCACCATTACTGAAGATGAAAAGTGTACTTGGTGCCCAACTCTGGGCACAGTATGGGGGAGGTTGGCAGCTGTGTCTCCTTGCCACCTTGATCTCGCTGTTACAGATTTTCTATCTTGGTTTAGGCACAACAGTTTTGCTCACAAGAGCTACAGGGCTTAAGGGTCAGGCACATGCCCTTCCCCACCCTCCTCTTCCAGGGGAGTTTGTCATGGTTTCCATCTCTGCCCTCTCCTTGTCATTTTGGAATGTCTATAAGGATGCTTGCCACAGTGCAGAGTGGCAGACTGTTGCCAGGCTTCCTCAGCCCATGTGGCGGGCGCAGGCTGCCATCCAGGGGACTTTCCAATATTTCTTGTGTGCCAGATCCCAGGTTCAACATTAAGGGGAGGTACAGGATAATAAGAGGTTCTACAAAGCTCCTACCAAAGAGCAGCTTTGGACCAGAAAATGAGGAGACATGCCTGTCTCATGTATTCCTGTCTCCTGGGTGTATAGAGAGGGCTGTGACTGAAGATGGTATAAACATGTGAGTAAAAGTAAAGGGTAGGCAGGTCCTACCCTTTATAGCAACAGGGCGAAAGCCCTCCCCTGTGGCTGCTCACCTCTGTCTAGACCAGGAAGTAGGTGTTAGGATCCCGCCCAGCTTGCCACATAGGATATGCCTTTCCTCTTCTCTAAGGGTGACTGTCAGGCTTGGAATGTGAGTTTACAGAACTCCAAGGAACAGTGCTTCTGGAGAGAAGACCCCACACTCCTCCCCACATCTATCTGGCCTTGAGTTGGTAGGATTACCTTCAGTGGAGACTGGCATCTTGGCCCGGTCCCCACTGGGGGTGGCATGATCTGGATACTTTTCTTGGGGGACTCCTCCCCTTTTTCTAGGTCTTGCCACCCCACCGTGCCATCCCTCCCTCTAGGCCAGGTTTGCTTTGCAGCAAAAACATTTATTCAGCAGTCACCATTCTTCAGCAGCGGTCCGCAGGCCCACAAAGGCCCCTTTGATGGGGCTGCCGAGAGGGGCAGGCTCACCACGCCTGCTGTCCTAATAGAATCCAGGCCTACAGGAAATCCACCTGGGCTGCTGCCGCCACCACTGCAGCCTCAGTAGAAAGGGCCCCTGCCCAGGCCTAATGCTACCACCTACTGCCCCCCATGACCCGCCGTCCACCTCCTCCCTCCTCCAGAGCCCTCAGCAGCCACTAATTGAATCCAGAGCCTCATGTGGCTGAGTCTGACTTGATGCTGACATCAACACCCTAAACCACAGTGCCTGTTCCCCAGGCCTGGCTGGGCCTCCTCCTTCCCCTCAGGGGTGAGACTTGGTACCAGGACCATGCATGACCCACAGAAAGACACTGATTGGCAGTGGAGCCTGTGAATGACTGGCTTCTGCTTTTGCTGGGCCCTTCTACTCCTCCAGGGCCCGACTCTTCTCTCATCCCTAAGATTAACAGGCAAAGACGGTGTGCATCCATTAGTTTTCAGAGCTGCCCACACCAAGTCCAAGCCACAGCTGTCCTTGAATCTAGTCTTGCTGTCCCCACAGCCTATAGTTTTCCTAGAAAACCCTCCTTTGGGTGTTCCAGAATTGATAGGCACATCTCTAGGGCAAGAAGTAAAGGAATACCCAGGGCCACCAAACTTGGCACCAGCTGTGAGCCAGACAGTCCTTTGGCCCTTCCTTGCTGTTAATGTTCTATCTCGGCCTTCCCTTTCAGTTCACTGGGCTTCTTGCCTTGGTGATCCATGTTTCCCCCACCAGTGCCCTTTACAGCAGGGCTTGTGCCAGAGCAGTGCAGACAGCAGGAAGGAGCCACATACTTGGCTAGCCTAGGACTCTGGTAGAGTCTGGAAGCTTCCTGGTCCCAAAATCAGCCATTACAAGGCTCTAGAATGACGAAGCTCTAGGCTGTCTTCTCTAGGTAAGGCAGGGGTAGACTGCTCTTCAGAACTCCCGAGAAGAGTGTGATCTCCCTCTGCGTCCTGTGTTTGCTATGGGCCCCTACCAAAGTTAAACATAAGCACTATGGCTCCTGCTGGCCCAAGACAGCCTAGCTTAGGGTAAGCTGCCCTAAGGAGTCCATTTTCCTGCCCCACCCAGGTGAAGGCCTTACCACACATGGGTCAGGACCTGTGGCTGGAACATTCTAATGGCAGGACCCTGCCAAGCCCATGCCTGACCTGTGACCAGTGACTTAAAACTCATGTACCCCAAGCCCAAACAGAGAGACAGGCAATTCATTTTAGTTTTTATTTTCTTACAAAAGGCCTTCATATCATCAATAGTCTTACAAAAACCAAAGTCCTTGTCACTGAATTTGAAAAACACTTTCCCAGCATAAACGGGAAAAGATCTTTTATAAATACATTAAGAACAAAACAAAACAATAGAAGCAAATCCACATGTGCCCAGAGCACCTTCCTTTCCAGTTTCAAGTGTTCCTGCACTTTTGGGGCCACGGCCACGGCCCTAGTGCCTTCCCCCCCCACTATTTCTGGGGATTCCTTCACTGTTTACCAGATTCCATGGCTTGGGAAGCCAAACATGCCTAGCCATGTTACCAGCACATGGCAGGGCTCACACCCCAGGATTGCACACTGCAGAAGACAGCAGGCGCCTGTACTGGACATGCTGGTGGCTGTGATAGTTCATTTGGGCTGAAGCAGCTCACAGATGAGATCCAGCCCGGAGAGGGTCAGAGACTGGCTGCTGTCCACAGTATCATCATGCATGTGCACTGTGGTGCATATTGAGAACTTCTTTGTGTGGCAGCAGAAGGGTGATGACTGAAAGCCTGGACCCCTCCCTGGCTGCTCTTTCTTTCCTGGCTTAGATGTAGTGCTTAGCAGGGAGGGCCCCCTGGAGGCTGGGCCCTGGGTAGCCCATAAGGGGCACCTCACATTCAGGACCACCTGACAGGGCCTCCCCACCTCCCTCTGTTGCCTTGGAGCTTGGCTCCAAGGGGGCTTTCACCCCCTCTAGTTCCAGGGGCCCAGTCCCTGCTCCCACCTGCCCTTTGTCCTGAGCTGTAGACGTTGCCCGCCCCCGCCGTACACAGTAGGCTGCTCCTGCAGCAGCCAACACAGCTAGGAGTACAGCAGCCAGGGCAGGTGCAATGAGGAGTGGCAGATTGCCCTCACGGGCCTGGGTGACTGGGGCATGATTGGAGCGGACTGCCTGGGGGGTGTTGGCCTCCCCACAGGCCTCCTCACCTTCAGGTATCCGCCCAGCTCCCAGGGGTGTGACACAGATAGAATAGGTGGCATTGGGCCGCAGCTGGGTGACTGTGTACTCTGCAAGAGAAGCAGGGAGTCGTAAGGTCACCAGCCGCCTGTCGGGGCCAGACAGGTTACGATAGGTGAGGCGGAGGCTCCGGAGCTGCACAGCGCTGCCCTGTAAGTAACGCTGCAGCTCCACACGCAAGGAGGTGGGGCTCACTGGCTCAATGCTGAGAGGCAGGGGCCGGGAGGGCCTTGGAGTGTCCGGTATGGAGCTGGGTTTCATCCCTTGCCCCACTGGACTCTCACAGTACAGGCCAATGAAGCCCTCTGGGCACAAGCACTCCCAGTGGTGTCCTGCCCCTACACGGCAGGTACCACCGTTCAGGCAGGTGGATGCTGGACAGTCCTGGGGCTGAGGAGCAGGCTTCACGGTTGGTGGGGCCGTGGATGGTGGGGTGGAGGCCTGGGTAGTTGGCTCTGTGATGCTGGGCCACGTGGGGGCTTGGCTAGAAGTCGAAGGGGTGGGCTCTTTGATAGTTGGCTTTATGGTAGGTACTGTGGCTGTGGTGGTGGTGACTGGGCAGCCAAAATCTGCATAGTCCAGATCCAGGAGCAGTCGGCCAGCATTCTTGGGTGGGAAGTGACAACGTGTCTCCTCAGGGCTGGCCAGCACAACATGGTTCTCACGCACCCAAGGCCCAAACCAGCTCAAGGGGCACAAGCAATTGAAGGGGTTTCTGGCAGCTGCTAGGAGGCGCAGGCGGGGAAAGAGACTTGAGAGGTCACTGGGCAGGGCCTGTAGGCTCAGGTTGCTCACGTCCAGTTCCTGCAGGGCTGTCAGGCCAGCCAGGTCCTCTGGCCGTATATGGGCAATGCGGGTGTTGCCAGCTAGCCGCAGGCGTGTCAGGCCACGCAAGCCTTGGATCACAGATGGCATGTGCTCCAACTGGTTGTCAGAAACATCCAGGTCATGGAGGTTGCGCAGGCGGCCGAAAAGCCCCTCATCTAGCCGCCGCAGCCCCAGGCCAGCCAACCTCAATGCCTCTACATTGGCAGTATCCAGCACTCCGGCTTCCAGGGTCGGGATACTGTTGTAGCTGAGGTCCAGCAGCAGCAGGCGGGGCAAGTGCAGTGCAGGCAGCACCCGGAGCTCATTGTCCTGCAGCTTGAGCTCCAGAAGGTGGTCAAGTGCATCAAAGGCACCAGTCTGGATGTGGCGAATGCGGTTCTTGCCCAGGTAGAGGCGCTCAAGGCGTCGCAGGCCGTGGAAAGTCTCATTGGAGATCTCTTGCAGTTTGTTGGCAGTCAGGTCCAGGTTACTGAGGTTAACAAGTGGCTGAAAAATGCCACCAGGCAGGCTAGTGATCTGGTTCTGTGACAAGTCCAGGAGCTGCAGGCTTGGAAGGGCAGCAAAACAGCCCACATCAAGTGTAGTGATGCCGTTCTCGAAGATATAGAGGCCCACTGTGTCAGGTGGCACGTCTCGGGGAACCGTGGGTGCCTGGCGGGCGGTACAGAAGACTATCTGTGGCTGGTTGCACTGGCAGCCTGATGGGCAGCCTTGGACCCCAGACCTCAGGAGCAGCAGGAGCAACAGCAGGAGAGGTGGCAGGCAACTCCTGGAGGGCATCTTCTGTTCCTAAGAGCAAAAAGCGGTGAGTCAGGGCTGACGGCAGCCACATCAGAAAGGCCGGAGAACTCTTCACTCCCCACTCTCAGGTGCAGCAGAGCCCAGAGCGGTGAGTCAGGTCCCTAGCGCCCTGGCTGGTTTCTGTCCCATGTCTGTCATCCCTTTCTATGTGATCTTATCATTACAGTGTTGGATGTCATGAATGAGCATCCTACAGGCTGATACATGTAGAGGCTGGCTAGCTCAAGGACCAACAGCACAGGCAACATCTCAGTGACAACACAGTTTTCCCTGAACCCTGGACTTCTTGTCCTAGCCAAGGCCAGCCCCTCTATCTGGCTGCAAGGACAGGGAAGGAGAATTATGGGTCCTGAAGCCCCTCCCTGCAGAGTCTGGAGAGACAGGATGGGCAGTTGGCCCGGGCGCGTAAGCAGAGAAGCTGGCTGTTGGGGCCACTGGCCCTGCAACACACTCTCATGTCCCTCCCTCCTCTGAGGGAGGAGAGACCGCAGCAGGAAAACTTCTCATGGAAACTATGGGATCTGTGTTTTTCCACTTGTGCTGTCAGACCTGCCCAGGATGGGGGCCATGGGCCACCAGGATGTGGCCAGTGGTGAGGTTTCTAGAGGAGGGGTAGAGGCTGGCTGGCAGCTCTGGCTTGGCAGGTGCCCCTTGTCTAGGGGAGGGGTGGCTGGATAAATTGAAACTTCCCTTTTCAGCCCCCTGTCATCAAAGCATGAACTAAAAACGAGGAACCCTGTGGCTCAGGTGAGGGAAAAACCTTTGTCCTCACCTCTTATGGTGGCCTGTGACAATGCCAGACTGGATAAGTACATCAGGCCAACTCCTCAGTTTTTGAGGGTTCTGCTTTAGGCTGGACCCTAGAACAAGGAATAGCTTTGTCCCCGAGAAGTGACAGTGCCCCATTCTTCCCACGTGGCAGCACTTGCTCAGCACACCGCTGCCTTAGTTCCCTCGGCAGCCAGCTTAGATGGGAGCTTCTTTTGTTACTCCAGAGTAACAGAGAAGGGGCTTTCGGAGGTGCCAGTGAGTATGAGCTGGAACCCAGGGCTTGAGTATAGCCAGCTTGAGAGGGTCTGCCCCTGGGGCAGGGTCTGTGCCTTTCAGGGCTCCATGTCATAACAAGCCATGAAGGTTGGGCTCCCACTCTTATCCTACATGACAGAGGTCAACAGCTTGCTCATTTCACTCAGGCTCCTAGGACAGCCTGAGGGCCACACCCAGGCACAGTCCTCACCCTGGGTGCTCCAGAGGCCTGAGCCTTGCATGGTGTGCCAGCATGCCCCTGGGCTGGCAGTCCTGCCTAATGGCTGACAATGCCCTCCCATTCCAGGCACCTGCTGTTCACACAAGGGCCTTTTGTACTAGAGCTAGGGCCTCCCTTCCCCCACGTGTGGCCACAACAGGTAACAAGACCCTCACCCAGCCTGCCTTTACCACCATCCCATCTGTGGATTCCCCTTTTCCAAAGCACAAGGGCCCCTGGTGTGTGAAAGGGAAGAAGACAGAATGGGTCCTAAGACAGGTGAGTTAAATGCCTGGGGCCTTACGCCAGCTCTAAGTGAAAGAAAAGGCCTTGTTACCCAGGTTAAGCTCACAGTCCCATCTGCCCGCAGTGTCCTTTTGTCAAGGAAGTGTTCGACCCCTCCGTACCGCCAAAAGCCCCTTCTCTTCTGTTACTCTGCATCGACAAGAGCAGCCTGCTGATGAACAGTTTGGCGCTTTCCCCACCCCTGGCTGGCCCACTCCATAGACATGCTAGGAACTCCCATAGGCAGAGATCTTGTCTACCTTTGCTCCTTTATCTGCAGAGCCTGTGCAGTGCCTCTCTGCTGAAGGAGCACTGAGGTAGAGGCTCACACTGAGAATCAACTGAGAAAAGTATCAGAACCCTGAGGCCTCAAGTGTCTCTGATTCTACCAGCACCACGGGGCTCTGCATTTAGTGACCTAAAACTGTTAGCTGCCCCCCTAACTCCCTTACCCCATAGGACTGTTTCCAGCCACCTTGACTCGGGGTAGTCGGGTAGTCGGCTTCCAGATAGCGGCTTCAAATGACCTCCGTCCACACGTCACAGCCATGTAGGAGGTGAGAAACCGCCTCCTCAATCAGTCTACTCCTGTGAGGCCAAGGTCAGGCTGAAGGGGTCCCTGCACGTGGCTAGCCTGGCCACATGGCTGATTCATCTCCCCATGGGTCTTGTTTAAGGCCAATGGTTAAGAGCTCATTCTAGGCAGGCGGCTCTGTGTGAGGCCTCCACTGGCAGCGTCATACTTAGTTCTTTACTTTCTTCTGTGTATCCTCGCCACCTTAGGGCTGAATAGTGTGCTTGGGAGGTGCTCCTTACTCTCCACAAAGGGGACCAACTATACTTTCTCCTAGCAGTTAAGGGGGGAAGGATATGTAGGAGTGTTTGACCTTAGGATCGCCACTTGGCTGGCAGGTTGGAAGCTATGGAGTGGCCATACAAGTTGGTAGGAGAGGGAGGTGAGTTAACTCAGGAGTGACCCGGGTCATAAGCCAAAAAGACCATACAGGTAATAAGCTAATCCAATTCCCATTCCTCTTAAGATTCATGTTAAGTTTCTTTGCCTGACCCCTGGCTTCACATCTCCCAGCAAGGGGAGACTGAGGCAAAAGATGGTTCTAGAGCTTTGGAAAACTTCAGTTTGCAAGATACAGTCTATTGGCTAGGGAAGCCTTTCATGGCTCGTATGTGGGCAGTCCTTGAGGGGAATCTGGAGAGGGCAGAAGCTAACCATGGTGGAAAAAAGTGAGGCAGTTATAGCACAGCAGGAGACAGGCCTGAGTTCAGGTTGAGTGTCACTGCAATTACTATATAGACCAAGCTGGCCTTGAACTCCCAGAGATCCTCCTACCTCAGTCTCCAAAGAACTGGGAGTAAAAAAGGTGTATGCCACCACACCCAGCCTGAGTCCCTTCTTGCCTGAGTTTCATCTTTGAGAAATGCAGAGCTCTTGTGGGCAGCCCTGCGGACTTCCTGTTTTGTTTTGTTTGGTTTTGGTATTGGTTTTAAATAGGTAAAGTTTAAGGTCGTTTTGCCATTTTTGTCTGCATGTGTATATGTTCAGTGCCTGTGGAAGCCAGAAAAGGCTGCTGTATTCCCTGGAACTGGTGGTTTTGAGTCTCCTAATGGGCACTTGGAATCAAATTCTGGGTCCTCTGGAAGAACAGCCTGTGCTCTCAACCACTAAGCCACCTCCCCAGCCTCAAAGAGGGAGCTCTTTTAGTAAGTTCTGAAGGCATTTAGCTTGTTTGAGTCCTTGTACCTGGTGTATGTACAGGTCGGTGGGTGGCTTCTCAAGAGTTGTACTGCCCTGTGCTTCCAGCTGATTAGAGTGGCTCTGAACGGACCACAGCCTCTGCTTTGATATCTGATCCTTGTGGGGCTACAAAGTGACCATATCCCTTGTAAAAGCTATGGGGAGAGCTCTGGAGCAGCAAGCTTTAGGGGTCAGGAGGGCAACAACAATGAAGGGTCAGGCCGCCGCCTCCTCCTACTAGATTCTTCACCTATGTTGGTCTAACTCTACGCAGCCTGGTGGGCAGAGGCAGATAGGCCTGGCTGTCTCAGCACCCAGGAGCCAGGATGAGGTATTTAGGTTTGGCTGTTAAGCCAGACCACAAACCCCACCTTAGCATCTAATGGAGCCTGTCACAGCACCTGCTTCCTAAAGCATTTGCCAAATGGTCAGTAAACATGATTAGCCACTACAGGCATTACTTATATGCCAGGAGCCCTGCCTTCCTTGTAAGCAAGACCCACTGTGGAAATTGTACCACCTTCATGCTAACTAGAGACCCTAGGTCCGGGTTAAGGACACGTGAGCGGGCATCCCTCCACTCTTAAGGCAATGGAAAAATGGGGGTGCGTCCTTAGTTTTATAAAGGAATGTGGGAGTAAGCTGTCCTTTGGCCCAACCTCCTGAAGCACATGACCTCCAGGAGGGGCTCTGTGAGTAAGGACAACTAAGGGCATTGGTCATCCAGTTTTTGAGGTCCCAGAATGCCCTCCACACCCAAGTGTGTGACACACTTGTGGGCACCCACCCATATACATGCCTGAGGTCAGTCAGGGACGGGAGAGTGGGTGGGGTAGAACCCAGGCATTTGGTGAGCACATCAGGCCTGGAGCTGGTGCTTCTCCCTGGGGCTGAGGCAGGCCATGTGCCCAGCGAGGTGGAGGGGACAATTCAGAGCCCACTCCTTCTTTGCACACTTCTTAAGGGTAGGTACAGTTAGGCTCTGCAAGGCCTGACTCTCAGCTCTGGGCTCCAAGCCTCTGTCTCCTGGTGCTGCACCGAATGGGCTCTACTTTGCTTGCCAGGCCTGGCAGCAGCCCAGCCCCAGGAGGCTGCCAACACACCCCCAGCCCCCTCCCGCAGGCGGGACTGTGCCGGCGGCCAGAATGGCTGGCTCCAGTTTCGCTGACGTGTCCGAGGCAATTCTGGGCCCTGGTTTGGTCCATCCCATCTCCCCTCTCTAGAATACAGCAGTCCTGGCCCAACAGAGAAGATGGGTCAAGGGTCTCTATTATAGGTTCTCAAAAAAAGTTGGGCAGGAGGCAGAGCCCAGGCTGGTGATTAAGTTAGGGGATCCCAAGCCAGTTCTGATCATTCTGCTTTGTGACCTCACCCCAATTCCTGCTCTCTCCTGGCTTCCATCTCTGCCTATAACTCAAAGGGTTTGGTTAGGATCTGAGCTGCAGGTTAGGGTCACCTAGAAAGCACTCTTTAAAACCTCAATTCCCTAGGCTACGTTATTATTATTTTTTTTTAATTAGCATTCCTGCTGGGAAGAGCCAGGCAGCTATATTTTAAGTCCTCTATTGGGTCTTCTGCACAGCTAGAGAAACTGCAAAAAGGACAATGAGGATATCAACCTAACTACTCTGTTTGTCCAAGAAAGGCTCTGGATCTTGGAGTGGGTGTGGCCAGGGTGGCCTGTCTCCACCCAGGTGGGCGTCTTCAGTGCCCCTGTGGGTGACCTGACTGCTGTCAGACCTGTCAGCCAAGGCAGATAGATGAGTGACTAAGATCAGCCTCTGGCTCAAGTGAGCCCTTGGGGTGGCAGGCTGTGCCATCGTAGGAGAGGTGCCACCTGTTGGGCAAGAACACCTGTGGCCCCAGGAGCTATGTGGTGGCTGTGGCCCAACCAGAAGTGGGGAGCAGAATGACACCGTCAGCACGCGTAGCAGGTGTGATGCCACTAGGGCTCCGCCTCCTCCTACCCTGCCCCTGCCCGGAGCCTGGCGCCCACTGAATAAGCTATAACCCTGCAATTAACCCTGCACCTTCCAGAATACCTTAGTCACTACAGAAAGCCAGCTACCCCAAGCTTCCCAGGCACAGAAGGGAATGGCCACAGATGGGGTCTTTTTCCCTATTCACATCAGCATGCCGTTGTTTTACAAGTCACTCAGCCTTGTAGGGCAGAAGCAGTCCCTTCTGGGGTCTATGAACTGGTCACTGAACCACAACTCTGCCCCACAGTTGTCACTATTGACCAGTGACTGAGCCTGAGGGCCAGCAAGGCTCCCACCCCGCCCCAGCTCCCCCAGTACAAGCCAGCTCCCTCCTTACTGAAGTCTCTTAGGCAGCCTGCAGGAATGTCAGAGTCTTATTGCATTCCCCAGGAGGAGTTGGGGGGGAGCCGTCCCCAACCTTGAAGAACTGGCCTTTTGCCCACCCCCACCCCCTCAAACCGAGGTGGCCTGAAGAAGCCTCCTCACACCCAGGGAGACTGGAATGAGGAAAAGCGGGGGAGGCCTGCGGCCTGGACAGCAGGCTGAGGGCTTGGGGAAAGCAGCCCGGCTGACTCTGGAATGTGGAAACTGATAAAAGGAAGGTCCAGTCCTCCCCAGCACACCAGAGCACCCCTACTGGCCCTGCTGCAATCACGTGCAGACACACACCCTCTGGGCCACACTCCTACACGTGTGTGTGTGTGTGTGTGTGTGTGTGTGTGTGTGTGTGTGTGTGTG